GAGAGAGAGAGAGAGAGAGAGAGAGAGAGAGAGAGAGAGAGAGAGAGAGAGAGAGAGACAGAGAGAGAGAGAGAGACAGAGAGACACAGAGAGAGAGAGACAGAGAGAGAGAGTGTGTGTGTGTGTGTGTGTGTGTGTAAGTGTGTGTGTGTGTGTGTAAGTGTGTGTGTGTGTGTGTAAGTGTGTGTGTGTGTGTGAACGTGTAGGTGCTGAAGCAACATCTCACGAGCACACCGGGCACAGCAACCGCCACAACCACCACGACACCAACACCTAAGCTTGCGTGCATGGATCATCGTCATCCCACCTGCTCTGGGAAGCAGCGGCCTGTTCGTCCCTCTTCGAGATCGCGCAGGAATCGGCCCTTGGGCCTGCGAAATCAAACCAACGATTCGGTGGGGAGAGGGTGGATGGTGAGGAAAATGAGAGAGAGAGAGAGAGGAGTGTGAAATGCAGACACACAGGAGCACAAGCACAACAGGTCAGAGAACAAGAACAAGAACAAGAACAAGAACAAGAACACCAACAGCAACACCAACAGCAGCAACAGCAACAGCAACAGCAACAACAATGACCAGCAGCAGCTCACGCCAACCTGCAAAGCATGGTGGCCTGGTTCTTGAAGGTGAAGTTGATGATACATGGGCCGAGCATGCATGGTTCGCCATCCACCTGCACCGGCAGCGGTCGCAGCACCTCGATGCGAGCACGACTGCACTGGCAGATGCGATACGCGTGACCAAGATGCATCACGCCACGCGCCAGGGCAAGCGCACTGCTGAAGCCAACAACCTGTGCCACCATGGAGGGGGAAGACGGAAGGGAGGTGGGGGAGGGAGGAGTCGAGTGGGGGTGTACGCGTGAGTGTGCGCGAGAGAGAGAGTGTGTGTGTGAGCGAGTGTGTGTGCAAGCGAGTGAGTGAGTGTGTGTGTGTGTGAGTGAGTGTGTGTGAGCGAGTGTGTGTGCGTGTGTGAGGGTGTATGTGTGTGCGTGTCGGCATGCAAACATGGTCAAAGATCATCACGGAAGCCGTCGTGCACATCAACACGCAACCCACCTCGACTTTGCCGTCATCCAGGCGTGGCGGCGCAAACGAGTCCACAGCAGCTTTTGTGCCTGCAAGCAAAATGACACGAAAATGTTCATGTCAAGTACGTTTCTGGAAGTATCAGTCCAACATGTGCATGGGTGGTGCATGTGTGTGTGTGTGTGTGTGTGTGTGTGTGTGTGTGTGTGTGCATGCTCACCCCATGGGCGTGTTCCTGCGCCGTAGGAGTAGATGTTGAGGAACGCGATTGCTTCCAAACTCTTGCGCTTGATCACGTCGGTGTAGTCCGTGTCGTCACACTGCGATGTGTTTTGTGTGTGCATGTGCATGTGTGTGGTTGAGTGCGTGCATGGGTGGTGAGCATTCGTGAGAATACGTGTGTCATGAGAACGCAGAGGATAGCATGCGTGTTTGTTCATCTCATCACCATCATCACTGCGACCGCAATCATCACCACAGTTGTGGTGACGTACGTACCCAGAGGCGAACCATCGTGTGCAAGTTCTTGTACTTGTGCTGAAAAATGTCCTTGGCACCCTGTGGCAGTGGCAGTGGGGGAAGTGGCGATGTCATCATGGTGAGTGGTGTGAAGGGACAGCGATGATGCAAATGTCTTCGCTCGAAAAACCACAAGGGCAAGCGGACCACAAAGATACATGCAGGCAGGGACAGGCGCACGCACGCACGCACACACACACACACACAGATACACAGATACAAGCATACACGCGCACACACACAGAAGGACGCAAGCACAACGTGAATACACATACCTGGATGCCGTAGTATGCCTTGTTGTGCATGCGGGAGCTGAACTTGGCCGGGTCACGCTCGCGGGCGAGGTGGAAGTTGAGCGCAGCCCACGCGTCGGTGCCAAACGAAAAGTAGTTGTTGCAGACGTTGAGTGGCAGTTCGCGTGACAGCGGCACGTCGCTCGAGCGCGCATACGCCTCCTCGTCAAAGTCGAGGCAGTCGTCAATCGTCAGCGACCACCGGTCAAGCTGCAGGCAGCCGTAGTGATGGTGGTGGTGTTGAAGGAGTGTGTGGAACGGGACGTGAGATGGGGCAGTGGGTGCATGGGCGTGGATTAGCATCATTGGTCTTCGCACACGACGATGCACGCAAAACACACGCAAACACACACACACACACACACACACACGCACACACCTGTGTGCTGACGCTGTTGATGACAGAGTTGAGGAGTTTGCCTGCAGGCTCGCCCTCGTAGCCACCGCCCATCTTCAAGGAGCGCGCCATGTCGTTGCCCGTGCCGAGAGGAATGGTGCCCACGGGGATATGCAGGTCTGACAGGTTTAGCTCGTCAAGGGACTGCAGCACCCAGCCGATCGTGCCATCGCCGCCACACACCAGAATGCGCAGATTGGGGGTGCGCTGTGTGTGTGTGTTGGAGGGGGGGGGGCAAGGAGGCGAATGTGAGGAGTGACGATGGTGGGATGGCGCAAGCAGTAGCGACTGTTACACGCGATCATACACACACACACACACACACACACAATACACACACACACCTACCCACCCCAAACATGGAGAGGGCGGGCTTTGGGCCGATGACGTTGCCGCTGTCGTCGCGAGCCATGATGTTGAAGACCTGCCGCGGGTTGAGGTGCCACATGAAGTGGCGCATCAGCTTGATGCCCTGGTTGCCCCCGCTCTTCGGATTCACAAACACGAGCAGCGGGTACGCAGACGGCTGCAGCGTTCGGAAGGGGCGGCGTGGTGGCGGCGGTGTGGTGTGGCGTGGTGTGTGGTGTGTGGTGTGTATGTGTATGTGTGTGTGTTTGGCAGAGGGTGCATGAAGATGAGTAGATGAACGAAGCGAGGGTGGTGACAAAATGGGCATGGAAGAGCAGGTGCGTGCATGAACACAAGCAAACCAACGAACCAACCAAAGCAAACTAACAAACCAACCAAGTAACCCAACCATCAACAAACCACAAGCCACAACCACCCCAGCAAGCACGTGCCAATCACTCCCCTCGCCCCCTTCCCATCATGATGGCCCACCCGCTGCGGGCGAATGGAGAACTGGAGCGGGGATCCGTCGGTCATGACTGTGCGATCAACGGCGCTGACAGCCGCATTGACAGCCCGGTCCTTCAGCCGCCGCGCGCGCTTCATGCTGTTGCGGAAACTCCGCCTGGTGGTGGTGGTGGTGGTGGTGGTGGTGGTGTGAGTGAGAGAGAGAGAGAGAGTGTGTGTGTGTGTGTGTGTGTGAGTGAGTGTGTGTGGTGTTGCGGCAGTGTTGAATGGGAAAATACGAGACAAAGTAAAGGGATGTGTAAAGTAACGCCAGCGGACCTGTGGTGCAGGGTGACGCATTCCAACCTCCCCACAACACCTCGCATGCATGCAAGCACGCACCGTTTTTCTTCGGACATTTTTTCCAGCACACCCGCGTACTGCTGGTTGAACTGCTCATCAAACTCTGCATCGTCACCATCATCATCAGCGTCGTCGTCGTCGTTGCCATTTGCGTCCACCACAGACTCGTGTGCGTCTTCGTGCAAAGATCTGTGGAGAAGAGAGGTGTGCAGGGCGTGAGTGTTTGTGTTCGCACATGAGGCATAGGGGGCGGGCGGAATCAGGCACGAGACAGCAAGACAGCAGAGAGACAAGGGACCGAAACCACGGAAGTGATGGTCCCAATGCAAGTGTACGCGCGCGCTCTGTGTGTGTGTGTGTGTGTGTGTGTGTGTGTGTGTGTGTGTGTGTGTGTGTTTTTGTGTGTGCTGTGTGTGCGTGTGTGTGTGTGTTTGTGTGTGTGTGCACTGACTCCATGACGAGGAGGTCCTTCCGGGATCCAGCGTGTGGGGACGGGGCTGACGCGCGCCGTGCCGCTGCCGCCAGCGACTGGTACTGCGACACCGTGAACGAGAGGTCGGGGGTGGAGTCCCGGCTGATGCGGAATGGTGGTGATGGTGGGATGTGATGGTAAGTGAGGGATGGATGGATGGTGGGGAGTGAGGAATGATGTGGTGGTGGTGATGGTGGGATGTGATGGTGATGGTGGCAACACAAAGGGGTGAGCAGAAGAGGCGGATTAGAATGGTTGGGACAGCGCAGGTGCTGTGAGATTGGTGCGGGCTGGAAACAACTGCACTCACATCTGTGCACGCCTGGTGTCTCCGTTCTGCATCTATCATGTCCACGTCATCAGCCTGCGATGGATTCCCTACAGACGTCTGTACGCGACCAAGCATGACCCCATGTTAACGGAACTTCACTTCCCAATTATCAACTATCACGAGCAAACTGTCAACTCCACACTCCTTTACTGTTTTTCTCTCCTTCTTCGGCCCACCCGCCCCCCCCCCCCCCCCCCCCCCTCGACCGCGGCCCAGCCGCCCCACAGCTCAGCTGATTCGCCGAAGAGTCTCTTTCTTTGATTTTTTTTTTTCGATATCTT